TAACCATCCTACCAACCAACCAACCCAGAACACCCAAGTAACCCCTAGCGACTACCAAGAACACCCTAAAATCCATCTAGAAACCCTAGCAACCATAATGCAGCATGCCAACAACTCCTCAGATCATCCTAACACTGTAGCAGTGGATTTTGCGCAGGTAATCACCAATTAAATTGTGTTCTGAAAATTAAACCTAGTTTGAATCTAGTCTGATCTAGATCTAGTTTGAATATTCACAATCGCATCCCAACATTTCAAGAACGTCCTGTTTGTACAGCATGTATATGTGCATTTAAGTGCACATATGACCGTTTGCATGCTGACTGCACCTGTATGGATGGCCCAGTTTCGGAAGAGCGGAGCATCTTTCTCCACGTCCCAGCCGTGTCGCGCAGCATGCATCCATGGAATCTGGAATATTCTCTTCTCCTGCAGGCAAAGAACATGCAAAACATGTCACAAGCCAAGACACACCCAATATGCACTGCGTTTGTGCATGCAGTCACGTTTACATGGCAAAATACTTCAAACAATAGCATCTTGCTCACGGCAAGTGTAGTTTCAACAAAACAATGCTGCAAAAAGACAAGTTTAAACAACCACATTCATAGTACCTTGTTGACCCATTTGAGCCCCGGTATTTTACAAGAGTTAATCTGCTCTTCCAACCATGGTCTCATACGCATTCTCTCCACCGGCATGCTGGCCTAGAGAAAGAGAGAGAGAAAGATCTGGAATGTGTCAAAGTTTGACAGCAACTTTTCCTCCTTCAACAGGTTGTACATTCCTCTATGGCTATCCAGGAAGCACAATGACAAACTTTAACCCTATTTCTAAAAGCAAACCTCCAATGGAGAACATCTGAATCACGATTTACTGAAAGTTACTGCAAACAAAATGATTATGAGATATGATTCGTATTTGGGCTTTCGTGAAAGCAAGAGTCAGGACCGTGAGTCAGGATGTGAATGACAACACAAATAGAGGATGTTGGAGTGTTTGTGTGTGTGTGTGTGAGAGAGAGAGAGAGTTTATCTAAGAAAGAGTGCATGTGGTCTGACCTGTAATATCAATCATGCAAGATGAAAGACATGAGAAGATGTTTCTTAATCCATTTTCATTTCACAAAGCTCAAATCACAAGTTACCGATTAACCAATTTGAGCTCATAAAAAGGTTTATAGTTAATCACAATGAAAACTCGCGCTTTAAAATCATCCGTTTGTCGCTCAGACCTTTGAGTTTTTATGGTCCATTAGGAAATGAGAGTGAACAAAGGCAATCAAAACACAGAACAACAACATACAAGCATTACACTGTATACTACATTCTAACATAAGCACAGATAGGCACAATTATGAGCCCCCAAAAAAGTTACAGTTTGAAATACAGGCATAAAACCACACAAAACCATAACCCAATAAGTAGGAATGCATGATATACTGGTCTCATATAGCTGATGTTAGTGAGTTTATATATATATATATATATTTTATATGTAATATTATTAAATATATTATATTATTAAAAAATAATATTTAAGTGTGGACATTTATTTTAGATGTTAGACTGTTTTTACCATCATATTGTGCCAACATAAATGAATAGCATTAGATTATAGCAAAGAATCAGCACTGTTTCTTGAAGACACTTCTCATCTAAACTATTTATACCAACTATTCAACTTTCTCATTAACTATTCATCAGTAAGTTAGTATTTTATACTGTACAGTATAACACTGTAAAGCCTAAATTTAATCAAGCATCATGATTTGAACTTGACCAAAAAATACTAATAATACTAAAAATATAAAAACTATTAACTTTAGTTGTTAGTGCGTTTTATTAACACAAAATCATGTTATAAGAATATGATGCTATATTTATCAGCTTATCAAACATAATTTGGATTCAGACACTGGTGCACCAGTTTATGACAGACACTTTCCATTACAGTGCCCGTGTTACACGCAGTACATGTCCATGTAAGTCAATAACAGCAATAATAATATCCACACGTCCGTGCAAACGTCTCAATAACATAATTTGTCATTAAAAACACGTTATTCGTTAGTTATACTCAGTACTTACGGTGGAGTTACATTGCGGTGTCCCAATCATTCTTACAGCACACTAAATCAGTTGACTTCAACCTCCCCAAATAAGTATGATAGTGTTGTCAAGTCAACTCAAAAGTGAAAATAAATATTCCTTGATTCCCATTGGACCCAAACACCCCATGACTTTCGATTTAACACTCACCCCAGCAACTCTACGTGGCCTACAGCATAAACATCCACTTATATATATATATGAGCTCCATAAATACATGCGGAAATGCAATTTATTACCTGCGACGCGTAGAAATCACTCCAGGAATAATAGCAAAGAGATTGTGAAGAGTCTTGACAATTTGTAGTTCTCGATAACAAAACGAAAAGTCAAATGGGTTTGATTTCGCTCTTCAGATCGAAAGCAAAACAAGTGAAGGAAACAAGCGCTTGGGTGGAAATCCCCAGTGTGCGCGTGTGTGAATGTGCGTTGTGCGCTTACTTCGTGTTTACAAATCCTACTACGGCCAGGGTTTGGATAATTAATATTAACGACGTGGCGAGACGTTCGCGAGCTGATTAGCTAGCATACAGACAACTTCATAGGTGGGCGTGTAAATATTAGTAAAAGTAGGAGGCAGTTAGGGTAGTAACGCCGTGAAGGGGAAGGCTTAGCTAATGAATATTAATTACGCAGCGAGACGCTCGCGCAATGATTGGCTGACAAGCAGAAATGTGGGTGGCAGTCAACGAACGACCCTTTCTATTTTTGAGTAGTATTAAGAATTTGTTTTCTTTTCCAAATGAAAGCCTAAAACAAATAACACAAATCCATTTGCATTATCACAAGAAAAAATTAATGTAATAATGCTCGTGAAATATTGTGAAAAAACAAATAATGTCTTGTTGATATTTTATTGTATATCATAATTATTTTTATTAACATCACGTGTACCTTATTTTATTATTATTCCCTCTCACAGCTTTGATTATGTGTATAGTTTATTTCGCAATACTACATGTAAAACAATAAAATACCTTGAAATCCAAATTTACCGGACGCTCCAGAGACTTCAACCCGAGCAACGTCTCTGAACCTACTAAATATTCATAAGCTAAACCTTTGCCATAGTAGATTTTGCGCTGGTTTGCTCATTGGCTGCAGGCTGAAACGCGAAAGTCGATTTCATTTTCACTTCCTCGTTGTTTCGTTATTGCTTCTTAAAGGCAAAGCAGGCAGAAAAGAAACTCAAGCTGCAACATGCAAATATGTATCGCACTTTAGTGCTGGTTGTGTGTGATTAGAAAATTACCAAGTTTCTGAGACTTCATTTACGCTATATCACATATATTTATATGCAGATGTTGTGCATTGCTGTATGCATCTGACGTAAAATTGCATTCATCTATTGTATGTTTTTATTAAGTGCACTACTGATGTGCACATAATACTTCTGTCCATGGCTGTAGCTGGAATGACATTTCCAGAAAGATGTTGAGCTGTAGAGATGAGAGAAGCAATGCAAGTTGTTAAAAGCATTATAGCTGTGCAATCCTATCCTCACTGTGTCTTTCCACATACACACACACAGAGAGAGAGAGAGAGAGAGAGAGAGAGAGAGAGAGAGACGGAGAGAGAGAGAGAGAGAGAGAGAGAGAGTCTCATATCTTATCTATGCTGCCAAGCCCTGCAACTCCCAGTGTATGATGCAACACACCGACTCTAACAACACAAACCCATTTAAATAATACATTGGACTCAGATATTCTTTGCTAGAGTACCATAATTGCAATACAACCCTAAAGCAATTCTAAAATCAATCTTCTTTTCTTAAATCATCCATGTTTTTCCCCTGTATAGCATTATTTTTTAATTAAACAAACACGAAAAGGAAACAGCTTGACGGATGGTTGAGAAACAAGACTGAAACAGAAATAAGGTAAAGTTTCAGGGAGTTGTTCTGCTTTCTGTCGCATTTCTCAGGAAGACACCTTGTTGTTTTTAAGCACTTGGCTGGGATCTAAGAACAGACCACCACCTAGTGGTTAATACTTGTGTGATCTCGTAATACAAGTATCTTATTTATTAATATTATAATATATTTTAATATATTATTATAATTAACTAAAACTAAAAGTGAATTCCTTGAAAAGTAATTGAATAAACGTTAACTGAAATAAAATATATTATAAAAAAGTACTTTTATTTCATCTAGTTGCCAATGCAGCATTTCTAATTTTCACTATTTTAGCGATGTAATAAAACAAACAAATCTAAAACGGAAAAAAATTATTAAAAACTCCATAGACATATTAAGAAAACTAAAAAATGCCAATAAAGCACAACTAAATTATTAATGAAAATAGAAAACATACAAATAAATACTAATTCAAAATATTAATAAAAACTATAATAGCATCTCAACGATCCTAAAGTAACTCTTTGAGAATTTAGACACTTATGAATAGTAGATTTAGACACTTATGAAAATTGCTTTAAATAAAATGTTTTAAAAAGAATTCCTTTAATAGTGTTTATTGCTTCACTTCTTTTAAATAAATCAAATCAATATTTGGTGTGAATAACCTTATGCTGATTTGGTGAGAAACATTTATTATTATCACTATTAATACTGTCGTTGCTTAATATTTTTGTGGAAATCATACATTTTCAGGATTCTTTGATAAACATTATGAATGTCTTTACTGTCACATTTGATCACTTTTAACGCATCCTTGCGGAATAAGATGATTCATTACTTTAAAAAAAAGTGTGTGCGTGCGTGTGTGTGTGTGTATATATATATATATATATATATACATATATATACATAGAGAAAGAGAGAGAGAGGGGGTAGTCCTGTATCTTTTTCTGCATTTTGTTCAACTTTAGAGTCTCAACACAAATTACACAAAGCACACAAGCTTAACAGTAAACTAAAATATTTATTTATCATAATACAAATTGTGCTAGTGTTTAACGTTCAGAACTTCCTCTTGTCAAACAATCTTTAATAAATGTAATGCTGATGATAAACCTGAGAACTGTGAATCTCCACACTCACAGATGTCTGCACATGTACAAGACAAAGCAAGCAAGGCACAAATGATGAGTGACAGCCTAAATGTGCATAGAAAAAATCATAAAAGTCCAGCTGTCTGTGTCAAATCCAGTACTGTAACATTTCACACACCAGGATTAAAAAGATACAGAAAATTTCAAATACCCATGATCAGATAATAGTTTTTTAAAATCCAGTGTTTCCCTTAAAATTGCCTTTATATCCCTTCCTGTTTTGGCTGCAGTCTGCAGTGCTTTAAACGGCTACATAATATTTATTAAAATAATGATTTAAAAGTGCTCTTATCCCACTGCAACATAATCAGTAAAATACACATGAATTATTTAAGGAGATAGAGTTCTTTGGTCAGCATAGACACAATACACGGTATCTGTTTCATGCCATCAAACCCTGGAAGATTGGAGCAGGATTTAAAGTCCAGCGCCACCTTGTGGTTGACACGTGTCATGATCTGCATGATCTCTAGTTGCTTGCTGTATTTTGACAGCATCTCACACAGCGAGGAGATGAACCAGGAACCATTAGCAACGTTCCTCCAAGAGTAATAACCTGAGAACAGACAGAAAAGAAGATAGTAAGGGCATTTGTATTTGCGCATTTTCTTATTTGGTTCTCAAGAAAGTTTCTTAGAATACAGAATATTAGTTACCTGGTGCAGTGGAGTAGACATACAAAAAATCTGCCTCAACAGGAATCCTCTGTGTTTCCTCTTCACTTTCACTGTCGCACTCAATGCCAGCATCCAGACCTGAGCCTCGGCAAGCCTGGAGACACACAGGACAAACACACTCAAGCATCTGTGTAAGAAGCTATTTATGTCATATAATTTGCATCTCTGCACGTTAGTGAACAAAGGTCTACTGGCTACTTTAAAAAAGGCAAGAGCTCTTTAATAGGTCTCTGTTTTAACAGGAAATACAAGAAGGAACTGTTCATTTTTAAAGATTTTTGGTGTTTTTTTATTGTTTTTATAGAGATAGGATAGTATGTAGACAGGAAAGTGGGAGAGGGGGGGGGTAGGATGGGATCGGGAAAGGTCCGCGAGCACGGGACCCCCGAAGCGCAACGACGCTGTATGTCAGCGCACTACACACAAGGCTATCGGCGCCAGCGAATTGTTTGTTTTTAAAAGAATAGTTCACACAAAAAATAATATTTCCTTGAAAATTGGCCATCCAAGACGTAGATAAGTTACTCAGCAATGGATCCTCTGCAGTGAATGAGTGCCGTAAGAATCAGGGTTCAAATAGCTGATAAAAACATCACAATAATCCACATGACTTTTTGTGTTGATTACTTGTGGATTATTGTGATGTTTTTATCAGCTGTTTGGACTCATTCTGACGGCACCCATTCACTGCAGAGGATCCTTTGATGAGCAAGTGATGCTAAATTTCAGATTTTGATTCAGATTTTTTAAAAATCTGTTCTGATGAAGAAATAAACTCATCTACATCTTGCATGGCCTGAGGGTAAGTACATTTTTAGTACATTTTCATTTTTGGGTGAAGGGTAATTTTTGTTTTAATAATTATAAAATATCTAATAATTTTTCAAATATATCTTAATAGATAAGAAATAATATATTTAGTTTTTATTAATTGTATAACATCTTGGCAAGCAGAGTGATTTTGACTAAAACTAAAGCCATAAAAATTATTAAAGTTATCTGAAACAAAATAAACATCAAGTGAAATCAAATTTAAAATTAAAGGTGCAATAGGTGATTGTCTTCAGAAATTTTTTTTGTTATGCTGGTTGAAAGTCTCTTCACATCCCGATAGCAATCATTAAGTTAAGTGGTCTAAATGTATTTGTCTGTATTTATATATTCTGTGGAAGGTGTAGGGTCAAGAAATGTTCGTCCAATCAAAACACTCGGTCCGAACGTTTTAATATGCTTTCCTACCTGCCTGTCAACGTATGTATCTGCATACCTCTTTCACGTACGCTGTGCAGACAGAGCGAGAATGCCAGAGAATCAACAACCCGATTTTCCTTCCTGGTATTGTAGTACTTTTAAAGATTTCTCACCGGTGAATGACACATGATGTAGCCCAGCGGTTAATCCAGTCCTCGCGCCAGCTCGTTAGAAGTGAGCTACGTGCATGAACTGTGTTCCGATCGATATGATCCCTACACAGTGTTCATTGCTCCCTCCTCCCTGAGCAGGGGAAATACGTTGATGTTTACTTCACTTCGGAACATGGGCTGGAATTGGGAACCTGATGTAGCCTATTGTAGTAATGTTGTCTCTGGTCTGTGAGTGTAAATGCGTTCAGGGGGCGTGGCTTTGGACAGCGATTGCAGGAAGGGTGGGACATTCGCTTTCAGTGCTATCAGGCTAAAGTTAGCATTTTCCAAGATCTCCTATTGCACCTTTAATTAAGCTAGCTGCCAAGGCAACATTTCTCATTTTCAATTAGTTTAACGTAAAGTAATAAATTAACTAAAATTAAATAAATACAAATAAGTAATAAGCAATGAAAACAACTATATAGATACAGCGGTGGCCAAAATTATTATAGAACACTAGTATTTTCACCAGATAAAAATTGGTTTTAAGTCAGTTATTTATAGGCAGACTGGATGATGATGAGATCAGATCTCTGTGTGGAGCACTGGCTGTTGTCAGACTCCTTGTGCAAACAAAAATCTCACTGGATTATTACAATTAATGGCAAAATGAATGTTTGGAAATGCAAACTGATATTTCCTACTGACACACTACAGCTAAAGATAGAAATAACTGACTTAAAACTATTTTTAGCTGGTGAAAATACTAGTGTTCTACTAATTTTGGCCACCACTGTATATTAAAACAACAAACAAAAACTAATAAAAATGACAAAAGCACACAACAAAAGTACTAAAAATTAGGATGATAAAAGTACATCAATGGTACTAAAATAACAGCATTTTGAACAAGAAAAGACTTTTTATTATTATTCAGCTCACCTGAATGAAGAAAAGCTTGGGTTTCCCCACCAGTGATTTGCAGCAATCTCCTCTGAAGAGCGCAAACAGTTCCTTCAGCTCAATACAGTCATCTGTGCCAAATATCCTTCCATCTTCTCCATGACTCAGCAACACACACGCAAACATGGCTGATTTACTGTGATCTTCCTTAGACACTGAAAATGGAAGAATATATGAGTTTATGACTGATCAATTCAATAACTGTAACCAATCACTATTTAGACTCCTTATACCTTTAGTTAACAAATCTTTCATCTGTGAGACAGTCTGATCATTGCTAATTTTGTATTTGAAGCCCAGCTTTGAGAAGGTCTGCATTGCATTCTTTGCATCCTCGTCTGTCCCATTACGAACTCCCATTCCTGTTCAAAATAAAAAAGGATTAATCCAACAAAAAATATGAGGACATTACTACTAACTAGTTCAACTCATCAGTGTTAGTCCCAGCTCTTACCTGTTTTTTTAAGGAAATTCTTGTTGTTGATGATTACACATTGTCCCAGACTAGGGTAGTTCATATTGTATTGAAAAACATCTGAATGTGGTTTGGCATCCGTCTGATGGACTCCAGCATCTGTGAGATACGAACCCCTGCATGCAAACAAAGAGACTTTTATGATGCATTCATAATTAATGTGGAAATGATTCACAGACACTTCAGGAAGTGGTAATTAAAAAGTGGTTAGTTAGCTGTTACTTTCATTTACTTCACAATGTGATGATTTTCCCTTAAACAACCATGGGTCGCTCTATTTTTTGACTAATTTTGATTATTCACCCACAAATGAAAATTAGCTGAAAATGTATTTCACCCTCAGGCCATCTAAGACGTACATGAGTTTCTTCATCAGAACAGATTTAAAGAAATTTAGCATTACATTACTTGCTCAACAATGGATTCACTGCAGAGAAACCATTAGTGAGCAATTCCAAATCTGTTCAGATTTTTCAGTAAAGTTTTAGTTTTGGGTGAACTATTCCTTTCGTGTGCCTGTTGCTTGTAATAAAATTTCTGTAATTGATCCATTTTCATTTAAATCACACATACTCTTTGGCATTCACTTGTCTGGCATCCACAGAGTCCGACATGGTCACTAAAGGGAAACGAAAGAAACAGATCTACTGTAATCTATAATGCTTCACATTTCCAGCTATTTTAATACATTTTATAGACTATATCTCAGATGAACACATTCTCTAGCAATTCCAAGTAATATAACATGAGGAAATTATTATTTTTTATTTTGTAAATTTCTATGTAAGTTACTGTAAGTGCTATTTCCCTTTTCCCTGATTTTACTACAACTAGTCATAAAAAAAATGACTTACACAATACTTTAGGATGACTACTGTATTCTTGTTAGGAAATTACCTAGACATTCAATATGTGTTTTCAAACACACTTCCCATAAAGCTTGTCCTTTTAAAACAACAGGTGTAACAAGTTCATATAAAGATAACTTGATTGCTTCTTTCTTAGTCTAGATGTTTAACATCCATAATGATCACAAATATATGGATTTACAAAGATCTAACAGTTTGATAACTGAAGGCTGGGCCTCTCACATGTGTCAATTGCTTGAAGATTGCAGTATTCTAGAAAGTAGATCAGTCTATCTTTACTGGGACAAGCCCGTGACAGCACATTATGAAAGAAGACTTGTTATGAAGAGTTATGGTAACTTTGTTTTGTGAATTTTAGTCTATCACAACCACCTAAATGAGACAAACCTAATTTTTACCAGTTACTTCCCAGAAATTTCCAAAAACAACACACATACTCAATTGATTATCTTTAGTGGCATTTACAGTCACATCTGACATTTTAATCTAAATCCATTTGCCATTAAAACACTCAATCACGTTCAGAACTAAATAATTCGTTTTTTAAAAGCACATTTCTTTCTGACACTAAAAAAAACAAATTAAGTTGATGCAATTAAGGTGATCAGTAGTGTGAATAAGGTAAATAACTTACAGTTGTGTTGTCAGGTGTTTTCCTTCTGAAAGAGAAATGACATACAAGTGGTTTTGATGATCCGGAAAGTTCTTTAACCACTCGTAGTAACGTTACAACCCCAAAGGAGGTTTCTCTTTAGCAGGGAGGGAGCGGAGAACGTAGGATACTAAGACCAATTTTTGACTGCAAATATTAATGAAGTAATATTTTTAACGTCCTTTCAATAGCGAAATCCTACTAATAAATATTATTTGAGATTACGTTGCGTTTTTACCTTCTGGTCACGAAGGCTTATTAATACTGAGAACCAAGCATTAAACATAAACAGTTCCGTGAGACTGGCTCCACCCACGAAAAACCCATGAAGTTTGGTTCTGCGCATGCGCAGTAAACACAGCGGTCTCTAATACCAAAAGTGCATTATTATAAAAGTCATTACGAAAGTCATTATTATAAGGGTTGTAACTGTTGAGCTTTATCTAAACAAAATCTAAACTTACGTATTCTGCTCGAACAAAACATGCTGATTGGCTGATTCTGCGTTCATGTTTGTACATTTTTTTTTTTTTTTACATGAACCTTCAGAAATCTAATTTGCTAATTTGGTGTTCAAGAATTAAGGCTAATTGATGAAGAAGAAAATCGTGTTGTTTCTGTTCTAATAGCCCTGGATGCTTTTCTTGGTTTTTCCCATTTCTTGTTCTAAACAAAATCTAAACTTACGTATTCTGCTCGAACAAAACATGCTGATTGGCTGATTCTGCGTTCATGTTTGTACATTTTTTTTTTTTTTACATGAACCTTCAGAAATCTAATTTGCTAATTTGGTGTTCAAGAATTAAGGCTAATTGATGAAGAAGAAAATCGTGTTGTTTCTGTTCTAATAGCCCTGGATGCTTTTCTTGGTTTTTACATATCATTTCTTGTCTTCATTCTTTGCTCAACTCAAAGGAAATTAAACAAAGCACACAAGCTTAATAGCTAAGTAAAATGTTTTTTTTCCCCCATACAAATTTGTGCTAGTGTTTATGTTTTCAGAACTTCCTCTTTATTGCATTCTGATGATAAACCGGAGAACTGTGAACCTTCAGACTCACACCAGCACCTAGACATGCAGGCTAAGCAGGGGCACATTAATGCACGGGCTTCAAGGGGCTGAACTGAAGCCCAGGGGCCTACACTGGAAAGGGGGCCCACTGGCTGCAGGGAAATTATATTTTTTTAATAATTATATATATATGTGAGTTTGCAGCAGTGACAACAGAGTTCTGTAAACAAACTCACATTCATTTTTAGCGATGCCCTGGTTTTAGTAGCCTATAGTGAATGGCTCAGTTTAGGTTCCCCCCACGCAGTTTGTATAGCTAGGTAGTGATGCAAAGTCCGATTCATTTTGGACAGATCGGCTCATTGAACCGGTTCAAAAAGCCGATTCATCGGTTCCTGGCGTCATCAAGCAATAACGTCTCTACGCATTTCTTTTCTAACAACTATTGCAATGTTGTATCAATGAAAATTTCAAATAAGTCATTTGTGTCAACACATATTGAAACATTCAAAAAAAATAAAGTTATTTGTGTGAAAGCATATTGCTGATTATTGCCATATAATTCACTTAAGTTAATGGTGTTTGTGGTCACAGTTTCATTCGCGGATCCTCAGATACGACTGACTGAGCAATATTGACTAGCATACAACTTGGATAAGATTCCTAAAAGTTTCGCCCCTACAGCACACATAGACATTGATGCACAAACGCGGATATGTTCTACATGTCTACAGTATAAAGAATGAATAAACCAGTCTTATAAACTCCTTGATTTCGCTTAAGCATCTTTAAATATAATATGTATGCACAATAAACTATTGTAAAATTTATTTACATCACTCGACAGAAAGGTTTTTGCAGGTTTTAATAAAATGTAAATTAATAACAGTCATAATAAGCATATTTCCAGTATGTGCCTCAGGCTTGCACAGTATCGTCAACTCACTCATCAGAATCTTCTGTAATCCTCAGCAAACTTGGCCACGGCTCATTCGGTTCTTGTTGAGTCATCGGTAATCCTCGGCAAACGTCGGTTCTTTTTTAGTTGGACGTGCTACTTCGGCTGTGTGTCCTGCGTCATCAACCCGGAACTAAAGTTCGATTCATTTTGATTTGTGAACCGGCTCAACCGGTTACTTCCTGAGAACCGGCTCAAAAGAACGATTCGTTCAAGAATCGAACATCACTAGTGCTAAGGCCTCCCAGTGTCTTTAAACCAGTTTTTGTGTCATGTGTTTTGTTGGAGTTCTAATTCTGTTTCTCCTGTGCTTTAGACCTCACTCCACCTGCATTCTGCCTGCCACACCTAATCAACAAACTAGTCTCTCTAGTTGCATACCTCTGGCCTGTTTAGTTTCCTGCACACCTCAGACAACAATCTTCAACAGCAAATGAGAGATGGATTGTGTTGCTTGACTTTATTAGGATCTGTCATTCAGACTTTTCTTATCACTGCTATGCTGATGACACTCAACTCTACTTCTCATTCCAACCAGATGATCCGAAGACATTTCTGGCTGGATGAAGGATTATCACCTTCAACTCAACCTTGCTAAGACAGAACTGATCGTGGTCTCAGCCAACCTAGCACTTCATCACAACTTCTCTATACAGCTAGGTTTGTCAACCATAACTCCTTCCAGGACAGCCAGGAACCTTGGAGTTGTGATTGATGATCAGTTAAGCTTCAGACCATATTGCTACAACAGCACAGTCCTGCAGATTTGCCCTATACAACATTAGGAAGATCAGACCCTTCCTATCAGAGCAGGCCACACAAATCCTTGTCCAAGCTCTTGTTCTCTCCAGATTGGACTATTGCAATGCTCTATTAGTGGGGCTTCCAGCATGCATCAGACCTCTGCAGCTGATCCACAAGGTAGCAGCTTCAACGAGCTGAACAAAGCCCACATCACACCTCTCTTCATCAGACTGCACTGGTTGCCAATAGCTGCTCGCATCAAATTCAAGGTACTGATGTTTGCCTATAAGACAACCACTGGCTCTGCACCAATATTCCTAAACTCACTAGCTCAGACTTATGCGCCCTCCAGAAGCTTGCATTCTGCATCGCCTTGTGGTGCCATCCCAAAGAAACACAAAATCACTCTCACAGACGTTTTCCTGGACTGTTCCCAGCTGGTGGAATGGCCTGCCTATCTCAATTCGATCAATTCGATGAGTCTTTAGCAATGTTTGGTTACAACATGCAGTATCTTGGCCATGTTAAACCTTTGCTGCTTTTGACACCATATGCCATTCTGTTCTGTTGGACAGGCTGCATAATTGGCTGTCTTTCCAGTTGTTTCCAGTCTTATTTAACCAATTGTGCCCAGTTTGTTAGCTTGGGTAATCATAAATCCGATACCGTGCCTGTTCGACAGGGAGTTTCTCAGGGTTCAGTGTTGGGCCTAATTTTAATTCTGGAGGAACAATTCCACAACGGTGATAAATTCACAGTTTAAACCATGTGAGGACAGAATGATGCAAGACAGTTCTTAATAACTGAACGGGGAAGTGGTTCTAATATACTGGTAGTTGAATTCAAAGACTTAACTGTACTTACAATAAAGTAAATTCCAACCATTTCAAAGTTCGGAAAAGTAGTGATTGGAGGATTTAAAGGCTGAATATCAACTATTTCAACCAGGGTGATAGAGATTAAAGAACTGTTAAGAAACGTATTACACTGATCAACAGAGGAGTGAACAATGTCCTTAGCTGGTTTAAGAAATTTATTAACAGTCCTAGGGCCAGATTTACTAAACAGGGCAAATTAACGTTAGAGCACAATTCCATAAAAGCGAAAAATAACTCAATACGCAAAAATAACTGTGTCCATGTCTTTTCAGCGCTGGCACAAGCTGTTAGTAAATCTGGCCCTTAAACAGAGACTTAACAGAGATAGTGGTGGGAAGTCCATATGCCTGATATTACAAAATGTAATGCTACGTTCAGACAAAGATCGGGAAAACATAACATTAATTTCATAGGTAACAAACCTATAGTCACTTAAACTCATGTCAATACTTTCCACAGATCGAATACCAGCTCCAGCAGAACAAACCACAATCAATGTGTGACCCAGCTTAAAGATCATAAAAGAAATATATGTGTCAAATTCAGCACTGTAAACATACCACACACCAGTATGAAAAAATACAGATAATTTCATATATTAATGATTAATTATACATTTTCTTTATATCCCTACCCGTTTTGACTGCAGTCTACAGTGCTTTAAATGGCTACATAGTATTGTTTTTTGTATGATTTAAAAGTATTTGTATCCCACTGCAACATAATCAGTAAAATACACATGAATTATTTAGGGAAATGGAGTTCTTTGGTTAGCATATACACAATACACGGTATCTGTTTTATGCCATCAAACCGTGAAAATATGGAGGAGGATTTAAAGTCCAGCGCCACCTTGTGGTTGACACGTGTCATGATCTGCATGATCTCCAGTTGCCTGCCGTATTTTGACAGCATCTCACACAATGAGATGATGAACCAGGAACCATTATCAACGTTCCTCCAGGAAAAGTAACCTGAGGACAGACAGCAAACAAGATGATTAAAGCAAGTTAATCAGCATATTTTCTATAATTTGGTTCTCAAGAAAGTTTCTTAGAACAGAATATTAGTTACCTGGTGCAGTGGAGTAGACATACAAAAAATCTGCCTCAACAGGAATTTTCTGTGTTTCCTCTTCACTTTCATAGTCGGACTCAATGCCAGCATCCAGACCTGAGCCTCGGCAAGCCTGCATGTAGACACACAGGACAAGCACACTCAAGCATTTGTTTAAGAGCAACTAAAACTATTAATTTAAACACGCACATTTAAAATTGGCCTTGAAAACATTCATTATGGTTTTGGGGCAGTCTGGAAGCTATAGGCTATATGATGTATAATTTGCATCTCTGCATATTAGTAAACAAAAGGCTCTACTTCAAAATTAACCACTAAAAACTAAACAGTATAAAATAAACAGTATGCGAGTGTGTGAATGTTTTTTTTTTCAGTAGCCCTGGATCTTGTTTTTCTGAAATTCAGTAGCCCTGGATGGTGCATTTTCTGAAATTGTTCAAAAACAAAGTATAATCAAATAACCTTGCAAGCTGCTCTTGCCCTGAGACTGGCAAGAGAGCTTCCAAATCCTCAATACTCATCTTGCTGAAGCTGTCTGCTGCTTTTAATACCAACACTATATTCTATTCTATTTGTTTTCATATTAATCCTTGCTATGTGTACTGTGCTAGACTAACTGATACTACTGATATGATAATAGTATATCAATGGTACTAAAAGAACAGCTTTTTGAACACGAAAATACTTTTTTATTATCAATCAGCTCACCTGAATGAAGAAAATCTTGGGTTTCCCCACCAGTGATTTGCAGCAATCTCCTCTGAAGAGCGCAAACAGTTCCTTCAGCTCAATACAGTCATCTGTGCCAAATATCCTTCCATCATCTCCATGACTCAGCAACACACATGCAAACATGGCTGATTTACTGTGATCTTCCTTAGACACTGAGGATGGAAGAGTATATGAGTTTATGACTGATCAATTCAATAACTGAAACCAATCACTATTCAGGCTCGGTCAGCATCTCGCCATACCTTCAGTTAACAAATATCTAATCTGTGAGACAGTCTGATCTCTGCAAATTTTGATTTTGAAGCCCAGATTTGAGAAAGTGTCTTTCACATTCTCTTCATCTTTTTCTGTCCCATTACGAACTTTCAATCCTGTTAAAAAAAAAAGGCTTAGTCCAACAAGAACATACATCTAAACTAACTTGTTTAACTCGTCAGTGTTAGTTCTTACCTGTATTTCTCTGGAAATTCTTGTTGTTGATGATGACACATTGTCCCAGGCTAGGGTAGTTCATATTGTATTGAAAAACATCTGAATGTGGTTTGGCATCCGTCTGATCGACTCCAGCATCTGTGAGATACGAACCCCTGTGCAAACAAAGAGATTTTTATGATACATTCATAATTAATGTGGAAATGATCTTCAGGAAGTGGTCATTTAGGTGGTGGTTAGTTAAGGCAAGTTTGTTGTGATTGGAAAAACTTGTAAAAATCTGGTAATGAGTGATCCTCAGCTGTTTAGTGTATGGTTAGTTTTTCCTCTGTGACAAAGTCAGTAAGTGTATGATGCCCAGTGTTTTAAAAGTGTGTTCAGAGAAATCAACCTTACTTGTAGCGGTCTCTTATATATCTTAAACAGCATAGTAAGAATACTGACAATTTCCTCACCAACAAAATACTCTTGTAAATGGATGCTGTCAGAATGAGAATCCAAAATAACTGATAAAAACATCACAATAATCCACTTGTAATCCATACGACTCAAGTCCATCAACTAACATCTTGTGAAGCAAAAAGTTGTGCGTATGTATGATACAATCCATCATTGTTCTTTTATTTTTTACTTTGCTTCTAGCTGGCTTAGGAATTTAGGAATTTGTGTTATGCATTTACCCAGAAGTACAGTATACTGTATACTGTATATATATATATATAGCAGGGGTGGCGAGCTTCAACCCTAATCAAACACACCTGAACAAGCTAATTAAGGCCTGAAGGGTTACTAGGAAGCTACAGACAGGTGAGTTTTTATTAGGGTTGGAGCTGAGCTCTGCAGGACTGCGGCTCTCCAGGACCGGAGTTCGCCATCCCTGGTATATAGTTAAATTTTCCTCAAAGCTCTTCTCTTTAAAACAACAGGTGTAACAAGTTCCTCTAAAGAGCCAAAAGATAATTTATTAACTTCTTTGATGTTCAAAAGCCATAATGATCACATACATCCTGATTTTACAAACATCTAAGCGCTTGTTTACTGAAGGCCTCTCACTTTTGGTCTATTGCAGAATATATATATAAAAAAAGCAGGTCAGTTTCACTTTACTGGGGCAAGCTCATGACAGCACATTATGAAAGAAAAGAATTATGAGTTTTGTTACTCGTCTTTACTTTCATATTACAAATTTTAGTCTATCTCAGCCAGCAGGAAAAAAAAAACAAGACAAAACCTAATTTTATCCTGTTACTTCACAGATATTTCCACAATAACACACAGGTTCCTTATTGATTCTCTTCAGTGGCATTTACACACATTTACATTTAACACATTGTTATCTAAATCCATTTGTTCAGAACTAAATGAATTAATAAAAGCACATGTCTTTCTGATCAGTAAAAAAGCAAAGGTAAAGATGCAATTAAGGTAATCAGTAATGTGAATAAAGTAAGTAACTTACAACTGTGGTGTCGTCAGATGTTTCTTTCTGGAAGAGAAATGAAACAAGTAGTTCTGATGAACTGGGAGGTTGTTTAAATACTCGTGGAACGAGGGGCACATTCAAGCTCAAACCGGTATCGTCAGTGTTAGTTCTTACCTGTATTTCTCTGGAAATTCTTGTTGTTGATGATGACACATTGTCCCAGGCTAGGGTAGTTCATATTGTATTGAAAAACATCTGAATGTGGTTTGGCATCCGTCTGATCGACTCCAGCATCTGTGAGATACGAACCCCTGTGCAAACAAAGATATTTTTATGATACATTCATAATTAATGTGGAAATGATCTTCAGGAAGTGGTCATTTAGGGGGTGGTTAGTTAAAGCAAGTTTCTGTGTGAGTTTGTTGTGACTGGAGAAACTTTAAAAATCTGGTAATGAGTGATACTCAGCTGTTTAGTGTATTGTTAGTTTTTCCTCTTGTGACAAAGTCAGTAAGTGTATGATGCCCAGTGTTTTAAAAGTGTGTTCAGAGAAATCAACCTTACTTGTAGCGGTCTTTTATATATCTTAAACAGCATAGTAAGAATACTGACAATTTCCTCACTAACAAATACTCTTGTGAATGGGTGCTGTCAGAATGAGAGTCCAAAATAACTGATAAAAACATCACAATAATCCACTTGTAATCCATATGACTCAAGTCCATCAACTAACATCTTGTGAAGCAAAAAGTTGTGCGTATATGTATGATACAATCCATCATTGTTTTTTTATTTTTTATTTTTTACTTTGCTTCTAGCTAAAATATGAGTCCATAATGGATCCGCAACCTATAAAGTCCATCCCATGTTGTCCTCTCACATCAAAATCCACCCACACATTTGTTTAAAATTGGACTGTTTTGTAAATGTTGCATGATCTGTGCATATTTTCTCTCCTGATTCAGACAAAATTACTTTTCATTAGAGAAAGCACTATTATGGATGAAGTAAACAATGGTTTCATGGATTAGTTTCTTACAAACACGCTTTTCACCTCACAAGTTATTATTTGATGGACTGGAGTTGTGTGGATTACTTGTGGATTATTGTGATTTGTGATTGTTTTTATCAGCTGTTTTGACTCTCATTCTGACGGCACCCATTCACTGCAGAGGATCCCTTGCTGAACAAGTGATGTAATGCCAAATTACTCAATTTCTCCAAACAAACTCTATATCTTGGATGACATGAGGGTGAGTAAATTTTCATTTTTGGGTGAAATAATTAATTTTCATCAAAATCACACATACTGTTTGGCATTCACTTGTCTGCCATCCACAGTGTCTTCACCCCTGGGTCCTCTGTCTGACATGGTCACTAAAGGGAAACACAGACACACACACACACACAAAAGATCTTATCATAAATAATTATTATTCTGATACATAATGACTCACAGTTGCTTAGGAATTTGTGTTATGCATTTACCCAGAAGTACAGTATACTGTATGCTATATATATATAGCAGCGGTGGCGAGCTTCAACCCTAATCAAACACACCTGAACAAGCTAATCAAGGCCTGAAGTGTTACTAGGAAGCTACAGTCTAATAAAACGCACAACATATTAAAGCGTCTTTGGTGTTTCCATATTTTCTACGAAACAAAACCGGAAATCGAGGGGTTATGACGTCATTGGCAGGCGACACAATGACACTATGGACACGGTCCATGTTACTATTTAAAATTGCTTATTTCTCTGGATTTAAACATTCTTCAAAACATTTGGGATAATGCAAGTACACAAGTCAGTAAAATATATAACACTGTTATAATGGTTTTTGGCTATTTTAATAAAAAAATCTTACATATTGTGCCTTTAATTAGTATTTATATAATTATTATTACTTCAATCTTACTCTGAAAGTTTCCACAACAGCATGCTGAGAAAAGCTGCTGAAAATTTAGCTTTGCATCACATGAATTAATTACATTTTGCAATATATTACAACAGAAAAAATATATTTTAAATTGTAATAATATTAATGCTTTACTGTATTTTTGAGCATAAGAGACTTCTTTCAAAAGCATTTAAAAATCCTATTCCAAATTTTGACTGGAAGTGTAAGCTGTGGTTTGTGATACCATGACTGATACCTGTTTGTTGTGTTGTTAAGCACTGGCCGCTCCAGGACGCACTGAAGATGGCCTCGGGATGATCTTCGGTGTCAATCACATCGGTCCATTCCTGTTGACCAATCTTCTGTTGGAGCGTCTCAAGGAGTGTGCGCCAAGCAGGGTGGTCAACGTGTCGTCTTGTGGTCATGATCTGGGCACTATTGATTTCAACTGCATCAACACACACAAGAAGCTCGCTCTGGGATCGTCTGACGTCGATTTATTCAGGGCCTACGCCCACAGCAAGCTCTGTAATGTGCTCTTCACCCATGAACTGGCCAAGAGACTGGAGGGAACCAACGTCACATGCTACAGTCTCCATCCAGGTTAGTGATCAATGAGAGTTTGCAATATGTGAGTATTATTTGCCAAAAACTATTCATAAATGTAAAACAAACATGTAATGCTTAAAGGGGTCAAGACATGAGAAATCAAATTTGCCTTAATCTTTTGGTATATAAGAGGTCTTTGTACCATTAAAAGATCCTTTAAGTTTCATAGCTTAAAACATCCTCCTCATTATAAACAAAGCATTTATTTAATCAAGCTCCAAAAATGGCTCGTTTTGGATCTGAGGTGCAAGATAATGTCAACCGGGCACAAACATTTGCATAAACACTGCCTCCAGAGCAAGACATTGACGAATAGTCATCTTCTCACAATAGGCCCCGCCCACTGGTCTTCACTCGCTTAACGGCTGACACTTGATCACGCTGAATGCGAGTGTTGCGTCGTGTCAAAAGCAAATAGAAATTACAATCACTGTCGCTATCTTGTCTACACTGGATACAGTATAGAGATGCTCATTCACTTTCTGACACAGTCCACATGCTCGATTCTGTCGTCAGGACAAATGGAGTGAAAGAACATTCGCTTTGACGCATTTGGTTTAAACAGCTCGTTTGCATCTTTGTACAGATATCAGAAGGATCCCAGCATAAGGAACAAGCGGATGGTTTATTTTGAATGGCATCCCAGATCGTGTTAGAGGATTGTTTGGAGTATTTTGTTTTGTAAATGAGGTACAGTGTCATGGAGAGTTCACAAAGAAACATTTGTTGAAAGATGAAGTGGTACACACGATCTGACTGCTGCTGCATCACTAACCGTTAGTAAATGTTTTCTTACTTCTTTGTCCAGAAATTACCATTTTTTTAAATCATGTTGTCAAAACAGTCACTTGCAATAGCGAGGGGGTGTTCATACTGTTTCCTGTGCAATGACCTTAGCCAATCATAACAGTGGCCGATTCCTGACAAGCCTTAAAGGACATGCACCTTAACACAGGTCATTTTAGACAGAGGGTCAGAATGAGGGTTGAAAATAATAATTTTTCCATGTATTTGCTTTTTTTTGTGCAAAAACTTTATTAACATTATAAGTACACCTCAAAGAACATATTTTAAAAAATCCATGTCATGACTCCTTTAATAGCAGTGCAACAAAGGTTCTTCAGTGATTCTTTGCAGAAACATTAGCTATGAGATATTATTACCACAAAAGTTACCACAAATCACAAGTTTTCTGCAAGTTTTATGAAGGAAAATGTAAGTCCTTTTCAACTGAAGAAAATTTAAGGAATAAATTAAAGTGTATACAAACACAATACGTCAGTATGTTCTCTTAATGCAAATGTCAAGGGAGAACACAAGGAGTATTAGCAGCACTTCATAGTTAGAAAATACAACTTCCAACCTATCTCCATTACTAATTAATTATACACATAAAATAACTTAAAGGGGTCATAGGATGCTACATGCACTTTTACAAGTTGTTTGAACTGAAATGTGTGTTGACAGTGTGTGTACACAACCACCCTATAATGATAAAAACCCCCCCAGTGTTTTTTTTTAATCTACTAAAATCTTTACCCCTTTCTCAAATCGAGCCGATCTCAGATGCCTGTCTGTGTGACGTCACAAAGACAGGCCCCTCCCACGATAGTTTGATTGACAGTAGCGTTTCAGCACAGACTGGACTGGCGTCTTACCTTAGACCCGCCCAGAGTGAGCTGTCATCGGTCCGCTAGTAGTGTTTCACCGCCGGAGCAGATGTAGACAAGAATGACTCCTAAGCGATTGAGGTATTTTGTTGTTGGATGTAATAATGAACTGAACTTAGCAGTAGTAATTTACTCCCGACATATGAGCCGCTGAAGACGCAGTGGATTACGTTTGTTTTTGAAGGGAATACGCCCTCGATCTACATAAATGCGTCTATGTTCGCGCGAATCATTCAGAAGACGTGAGTATGAGGCTACAGAAGAGACCCTAAAGAATCATATCAACTTGTGGAAAATGGGCATCCGATAACTAGAATATGGAAATAACTTTTACTGTATCTTCTGATCACATTTTACAAAAATGATGTTCTTCCTCATTTTTGTAGTTTTTGAGTTCATTCAAAGTAGATTCAGCAATGACATAAGAAGTCTTGTTTTCTGAGAATTGTATCAACATGAAGTGAATTTATGATAAAACGGGAAATATCAACAGACCGGAAAAAATCAACTTAATTCCCTTAAAGGGGTCATATGATGCGATTTCATTTTTTCCTTTCTCTTTGGAGTGTTACAAGCTCTTGGTGCATAAAGAAGATCTGTAAATTTGCAAAGACT